ACAAATTTATTTTACTATTTATTTATTTGTTTGTATTTATAAGGAATATATTGATTTATTTATTTTGTATTGATTTATTTGATTATTTATTTTATGTTAATATTATATATGATAATATCAATCTAATATAAAGTTGTAGGAGAGCGACTATATTATTATCTAAATAGATAGATTTTGAAGGCTCTATAAGAGCGATTATATCATGACTTGAAGAGATAAATTTTTGAAGCTCTAGAAAAGTGAATAAATTATTACTTGAAGAGAAAATGTTTAAAGGCTCTAAAAGAGTAGAAATATTATTACTTGAAGTGACTAATTTAAAAACTCCAGAAAAGCAAATATGTTATTATCCGAAAGGATAAATTTATTATGAATGATGTACTATTCTCTTCAAAGTCTTATAGAAATTTATTAAGTTTTAAAGATATTCATCCGAATTGATATCAAATCAAGATAGAAAATGTGAATACTTATATGTTATAATCATTATATTGGGTAGAAAATATCTATAAAAAAATTTATCCGTTTTCTCTTTTAGTCTTTATTACAAACATTGAAATGACTGAAACAAGTATTGTATTAAACTAGAAGTTTACTAATTCAAATACTTTTACTATATGACATGACCGAGTTGTGTTATCTTGGTTCTTTCATGATGTGAAAATATTATTAAAAAAATTATATGAATATCTATTGAAGAGCCATAAGATTCTTCAATTTAATGAACTTTCATGTTACGCATGTTGCCAAGGCAAATTGATGATTAAGCCATCATCAAGTAAAATTTAGATTGAATTTTCAGTATTTTAGAATGTATTCAAAGTGATATATGTGGATCAATTCATTCACCATGTGGACCATTTAAATATTTTACAATTTTGATAAATGCATCCACAAGATGGTCATATATATACTTATTATCTACTCGAAACCTAATGTTTTCGAGATTGCTAGCAAATACTTTGATTTCGAGCATAATTTTCAAATTATTTCATTAAAACAAGTCACCTTGATAATGCTAATGAATTTATTTCTCAAGCATTAAATTATTATTGATTGGCTATTAAAATAAAGTTTGAACATCCTGTTGCTCATGTTCATACTAAAAAAGGTTTAGCAAAATCATTTATCAAAAGGCTCCAATTGATAGCTAAATCATTATTTAAAAATAAAACTCCCTGTTTATGTTTGGGGACATGCAATCTTACATGCAGCAACACTTATTCGCATATGACCCATAAGTTATCGAAATTCTCTCATCTTTAGTTGATTTATGGTCATGAGTCAAATATTTCTTATTTAAGAATTTTTTTTATATTACGGTGTGTATCCTTAGTGCTCCTTTATAAGGAAATAAAATGGGCACTTAAAGGACATTGAGAAAATATATTGGATTTGAATCCTTTTTGATAATTAAATATCTTGAATCATGAATAAATGATATTTTTACGACTTGATTTATCGACTTGTCATTTTGATGAAATAGTTTTTTCAATATTAGGGGAGAGAATAAACAAAATAAGCAATTGAAAATGTTGAAAGAAGAAAAGATTATATGAAATACTCTATCTTATATCACCTTGATTCTTGTAGAAGATAATGTGAATTAGAAGTTCAAAAGATAATTCATTTATAAGGTACCGAAACCAACTGCCGGATGCATTCTCGGATCTTAAATGAGTAACTAAAATGCATGTCCACGCTAAGAATGCTCCTATTAGAATTAATGTCCTAAAGGATAATCTATTAATATTATAGCTAACAAATTTAAAGCACACTCGAAGCGTCGAAGACCGATCGGTTCTAAAGATAAAAATCCCTAAAAGAAAAGGGCAAGATGAAAATATTCACAAAATGGTCTAAGATATTTCGATAATTGGCTTCAAAAGAAGTCCAAATGCTTGAGAAAAATTAAAAGATTTTGATAAATTATGTCAATACAAGGAGAAAATAGGATCGAAGAGAAATATTTATAGATAAGATTTTTGTATGTAAAGTTACAATTGATATTTTGAATGAAAATAAGGATCCCGAGCCTAAATTATTGAAGAATGTTGATATAAAGATGATTAGCCTAAATAAAAAGAGCAATCCAGGCAGAATTATGTTCTCCTACAAAGAGTAGTTTTTTGAACCCATAGCTAAAACACTCGAAGATGTTAAGTTGGTGGGATACAAATAAGTATTTATGCCAACACGAAATAAGAAAGATGAGATTGTAAGATACAAAGCAAAACTTTCAACACAAGATTTTTGTAAAGAACTGACATTGACTATGAGGAGACATATCGTCCTATAATGGATGCAATTATATTTTATTATCTCATTAGCACTGGCAAAATATGTGAAAAACATTCATATGCATTATTTAATGAATGTGATCATAATTTATTTTTTTCATTTGAGATGAATCGGTATGAAAGTCCTAGAAGGACTTAACATGCTAGAAGCATGTAATATATATTCTTGAGATAATAATTTAATTAAATAATAGAGATCTCTATTAGGATTATTTTAGTATTTGTTTTATTATTTTGGTTTTTAGAAATTTAATTTATACTTTTTATATTTTATTTTTATATATACTTTTTATCACTAACCCATGTGCATGTGATATAATCACTTCAATGATTATTTGTTGAAAGAAAGTTATAAAAAATAACTCTATTTGTTCATATGTTTTTATTTAAAAAGGGGTTTGTTGTATATGTTTATAAATTAAATATTATTGGAACTCCTAAAGAGATTCCAAGTGTTATAAGTCATCTAAAAAGAGAATTTTATATGAATACCTTGGAAAAATAAAATGTTATCTCGACACTGTAGTTTGAGCACTAAGAGAATGAGATTTTTTATTCATCGATCAATTTGTATAGAAAAAAGTTCTACAATGATTCTATATAAAGATCATTCATTGAGTAGCCCAATGGTAGTTCGTTCACTTGATATCCAAAAAGATCCTTTTCGACCTCGATAAGATAACGAAGAACTACTTGGTCCTAGAGTACCATGTCTTAGTGTCACTAATGCATTGATATATCTTGCTAATAATACTCCATATGATATAGTCTTTTAGCAAGTCATAGTTTTATTTCAATACGGAGATATTGAAATAAAATAAACATATAATACATTATCTTTAAGGAATAATTGATATGGGCTTATATTAGTTCAATAAATCAAAGACGAGATTAATTGGTTATGCGGATGTAAGTTATTTATCTGATCCACATAAAGCTCGATCTCAAACTGGTTATGTATTTACATATGGAGATATAGCTATATCATGGCGTTCTATGAAGCAAAAATATAGCTGCCACATCTTTAAATCATGCAAAAATATCAATTCACAAGGCAAGTCGAGAATGTGTTTGGCTAAGATCAATGATCCATCATATCCGATAGACATGCGGTTTATCTACCAAAAAAGAAGTTCCAACAATATCATATGAAGATAATGTTGCTTGCATAATTTCATTGAAGGAAGAATACATCAAAGTGACAATCCGAGTAGATTTATTCGCTAAAACATTACCTACAACAACTTTTGAGAAGATGATTCACAAGATTGGAATGCGTCGTCTTAGAGATCTTAAATAATGCATTCAACATGGGGAGACCAAAATGGGGATTAATGTGTGCAAGGAATATTGTACTCTTTTTCCTTCACTAGGATTTTTTTCCCATTGGGTTTTTTCCTAGTAAGGTTTTAACGAGACATGTTCTTTGTACAATGGACATTCAAAGGGGAGTGTTATGAAATAATGAATGTCCATCATCATGTTCATCCACTTTTCATATCCCTACTACTCATGATTCTTAATATGATTCAATTTATCATTCAATATGAGAAATTGAAAGGGTGATGCAATTAATTATTTATAGTCCCTTTCAATTCTCTTCTCAAATTTGAAGCCTATAAATAGGCTTGATTGTTCATTAGTTGGTGTACAAATTTCTTAGAGAGAATAAGAGAAACTTTGAATTTCTTATCACTTATATTCACATTATAGTGATTTTATTTTCTTGTCATCCTTTTTCATCGATTCTTCTATTATTTCTATTTATTTTATAACAATTTGATCTCTTTTCATCAATTTTTTTTTAGGTGTATGCTCACTTGTATCTTGTGAAATGTTGATCTATGTTTCTCCAAAGTGTTAGGTAATTAAATTCAGGTGTTATTTATTTCTATTCTATAATTTTCTCGTTCTCTACTTAACACTCCAAAAAAGTAAAAAAGTATTTTGTTTGTGGTCCTCTTTCTTTTAAATTTCCCTACAGAGACAGACTGAGAATTCAAATCTAGAATCAGTCTATAGGAGTCAACGCACGTTGTTCACGAACATGCAATTTAATAATATTCTCTCTAGCTACTGTGGTTGGCCACTTCCTTAATGGCTAAGACGCTGGAAACCCGTGTTTTTTATAACTTTAAGGCTCCTTTTTTGGGGGTCCATGCATGTTAGATTATCGTACATAATGGGTTCGGTGAAACCGTAGGACTACTTTATCCTATTTTTCTTGGAATCTTCTAATTAAAAATCCATTAAATTTTTTTATTAAATTTTTACAACTAAAAGAAAGATTCTTATAATAAGCTACAGATATCTGCATTCTGCAGTAGCCAAAATTAAAGGCAAAAAGTTGACTTTATATGCTTTTAATTTGATGCTAGCTTGATTGACTCGTAAGCTTAATTATGAAGGTGCAAAGAAATAGCAAGGATGCTTCTCATTGCTATATAAAAGCATACAAACTGATTAGCATTGTTAAACTCGCAACTCTCAAAAGAAAAAAACAGAAAAAACAAAAACAAAAACAAAAACAAAACTACTATGATTATGATACTTGAATCCCAAATTTCTTTCTTGCTATTGCTAACGTTTCAGTCAGCAACAGCATTTGTACCAGCTCCTATAGCAAAATCAACTTGTACAAAATACACATGCGGAAATATTAGTATTCCGTACCCTTTCGGGATCGGAAAAGATTGCCACATGGAGGAATCTTTTAACGTTGAATGTGATGAAACTTACAGTCCGCCTAGAGCAATTTTAAGCAGCGTCAAAATGGAGTTGCTCGAATTTTCAGCTCTACACAGTGATGTTGCTGTCAAAGTACCAGTTATATCCAAATTCAATTCTTCTGGTGGGGAGGAGGGTGCACCTCTGAATTTGACTGGAACCCCTTTCTTCTATTCCTCAGAAAATTATTTCATTGCAGTGGGTTGCAATACTCGTGCAAAGTTTTGGACTGGTCACGGATCTGAACATATGGGCTGCGACTCAATCTGCTTAGACGGTAGTTTCAATATTTCTGATTGGGCAGAAAACAATGGCGCCAGTTCTGGTAATGAATATTGTCGGGATATAAGCATTCCTTTCAAACTTCAGGATTTTAAATCAAGTTTCGAGCCCAAAGATGAAAAACAAAGAATTAAAGGACCTAACCAGGCCTTCTTAGCAGCCTATGGGTTTGAAGACAACATAAAGAGTCAGCTAGAAATGAAGAATTTGACAAGCATGCCAGTATCGCTGAGTTGGATGCTACCGAAGGGCAGATTAAAATATGACAACGTTACCATGAAGTGCTATGTTCAGCCCATAAATAGCACGACTTTTACGTCTCACGGTTGTTCTTGCTCAGAGGGCTATGAGGGCAACCCTTTCCTTGAATGCATAGGTATCTTTTTCCCCACAGGACTATATATATGGGCCTTTTGCAATTAATGTTATTCTTGCCGTTGCTGTCTTTTTTTTTTTTTTTTTTTTTTTTTGCACTCATCACCAGTAAGTGAGTTTAAAACCATTAGCTATAGGGCCAATTTCTTGGCACTATGGGACGTAATAGACTTGCAACAAGGAGAGGGTATTTGATACTGAATTGATAAGGCATTTATGATGTATCTACCGAATTCATATTAGGGTACTATTCGATTTTGTGAATAATAGATAAGAAATAAATTGTTATTGCCTCCTACGAGACTAGTACTCTAGTAGCCAGAAACATATTTGCATTATTAATTTGTTCGATATACTTTTGTTCATAGATAGGTGTGTGCTTGAATTTTAATCATTTATTCTGGTCTCTTTGTATAATAGACATTGATGAATGTAAAAATGGAACTGTTTGTCACCCGTGGACACGATGTGTGAATACAAAAGGATCCTTCAAATGCGAGCTTGATGCATTTCGAATTACTATTTTAGGTGTGTCTCTCTTCTCTCTCATTATTTTTGTTTTATTTCTTATATTTTTAATATCATTAGACTATCTGCGCATTGTTTGGATTTAAACAATATTTTATGCCTAGATGTCCATGAGTGTGAAAGGCATACCATATTTTATGTTGGGTGTATGATTAGCCTATTTGTACAAAGAAAACAAATTTTTATGCATGATGAATATGACACATATTCATCTCAAAGGTTATAAATGGCTGTACTCGATGCATAAACACTAGACCCATGCCATCTATTCAAAAGATACAAAACTTGGTGTATGCTTAGAGATGATCACCATGCAGATTTATCTATAAATATTCTCATAATATCCTGTAATGGTCGGATAAAATCTTAAATATAGTGAGTATTCTTCTTTCATCACAAACTACCATTTGCAATTAAATAGTTTGTAGCTTGTTAGGAGATTAGTTAATTTATTATATAAACGTAATTGGTATGGAAAAATTGGAAGTATATATATATATATATATATATATATATATATATATATATATATATATATATATATATGTTGTTTTTGCTTATTCTCATCCAACAGTTTAATTTTTTGAATTGAAACGAATTCGTTGATACTTAGAGTCTCGTTTGTTTTGTAGAAAATACTTTCCGGAAAAACGAGTTATTTTTCATTATTTGGATGTATTAAGAATAATATTGTTTTATAAAATAAATATTTTTCATTGATAGCTTTTAAATGTTGATGATAAAATGAGAAAAATTATGGTGTTAATTATAGAAGTGATGGTAATGGTTATGATAATAATATTTCTAGAACTCGTCCGTGATAATATTGCTAGTGGTGGTCGTAGGATAATGGTTATTGTGATAATGATGATAGTATTAAAATAAATATTGGTTATGGTAATAGTAGTAATAGTGATTTTGGTGCTAGTAAAGTTACTAAATTATAATGTTGGCGAATATTATGAATTGATAGTATTAAAATTTTTTTTCCCCTACTTCTTGAGGTAAGAATATTTTCCTCAAATTAACACCATTAAAAAATTAATTAAAAATTATTTTCAACTGATTTATTTTTTAATATTTATTTTGTACTTGAAAATGAGTTGCAAAGCAAACAGACCGTTATTAATAAAAATAGAAATGTTATGGTACACCATTTCGTACTTGAAAATGAGTCGCAAAACAAACAGACCGTTATTAATAAAAATAAAAATGTTATGGTACATCAGCTTGAAGTTCCAACATGCTTTGGTTCATTTTTAGTGAAAAGGAAATTACCTTTGGTCAATGTTCATCGTTAATGAGAAAATGTGCCAAATCAAGATAATTGATAGCCTTTCATTCTCTAGTCATTTAATTTCATACATCATTTGAAGTCAAATTCCCTTGCGTACGGAAAAAAGTCAAACTTCATTTTTTTTTTTTTTTGTTATATAAAAACTCAATTGTCCCTTCATATGAAGTAAATTATTAATTAGATCTTCTAATTTTGAAAAATAAATAAATAATTTTTTATTTTTAAAATTAACTATTTAATCCCTTAACTAGTATTGATCATAATTAATTTGGTGTTACTTTCTTTCAAAAAATATTTTATTTTCTCACCAATCTTTCCATATTTTTTACTTGTTATTTTTTATTTTTAAGTTTTTAAAATAAAAAATCAAAATGAATTAAAAAAAAATTACAAGTAGATTTAGAAATAAAAAGTCTAAAAAAAATAATTTTTAAAATAAATAAATTTAATTAATTCGTTTTTGGAAACTTAAAGAACTAATTTATAATTTACTCCGCGCATAAAATTTACAAAAAATGAAAGCATTACTTACTTTTGGCCTACTCTTTTTTTTTTTTTTTTTTTTTAACATGCGAAATTGATTAAAAATGAAACATAAGAAAACATTGACTTTTCACTGCAAATATAGGAGTTATCTGTATTTTTTCATGTCGGGTACAAATTTTAAATTGAAGGAAAGTTCATATGGTAACCTTTATTTTCTTCTAGCTGAGAAAAAATAGTACGTAGACTATTAATTGCTTTTTCAATCCAAAATAATCAAACTTAGCCACCCTTATTATAACCCAACAATCGCATGCACATGCTAAGGGTTGTTTTTCTTTTTCCTTTTTTCTTGATACAGTTGTAGGTCTGGTGCTTGGAGTATTGTTGTTGCTCTTTGGTGCTTGGTGGACATACAAACTTATCAAAAAACGAAAATGCATCCAGTTGAAAAAGAAGTATTTCGAAAGGAATGGTGGTCTATTGTTGCAACAACAATTATCCTCAAGTGAAGGTAGGGTTCAAAAGACAAAAATATTCAGTTCAAAAGAGTTAGAAATGGCAACCGATCGTTTTAGTGAGACGAGAATACTTGGTCAAGGTGGCCAAGGCACCGTTTATAAAGGAATGTTAGCAGATGGGAGAATTGTTGCAGTTAAGAAGTCCACACTAGTAGATGAAGAAAAGTTGGAAGAATTTATCAATGAGGTTGTCATTCTTTCGCAAATCAATCACAGAAATGTGGTTAGGCTACTAGGATGTTGCTTGTAGACTGAAGTTCCTCTGCTGGTCTATGAATTCATTCCTAATGGAACTCTTTTCCAATATCTTCATAACCAAAACGAGGACTTCCCATTATCATGGGAAGCAAGACTACAAATTGCCACAGAAGTTGCTGGTGCAATATCCTATCTGCATTCAGCAGCATCTATTCCGATTTATCATCGCGACATTAAGTCCACAAACATACTCTTAGATGAGAAATATAGAGCTAAAGTATCAGATTTTGGAACTTCAAGATCAATCTCCATTGATCAAACTCATTTGACCACTCGTGTGCAAGGTACTTTTGGCTACTTGGATCCTGAGTATTTTCGATCTAGCCAATTTACAGACAAGAGTGACGTTTATAGTTTTGGAGTAGTTCTTGTGGAGCTCTTAAGTGGACAAAAACCGATTTTTTTAAGCAATTCACAAGAAAACATGAGCTTAGCTACGCATTTCATTGATTTGATGGAAGGAAATAGACTCTTTGATGTTCTTGATGCTCAAGTACTGGAGGATTGCACTGAAGAGGAAGCTGTTGATATAGCTAATCTTGCAAAGAGATGTTTGAATTTGAATGGAAGAAACCGACCAACAATGAAAGAAGTTGCAATGGAATTGGAGGGGATTCTACTGTTACGAAAGGATATCATGGCTGAAGTAAACGTGGTGATAATTTAAGAATATCTATCTCACAAGATCTCTTGATCATGTCTTGAAGAGAGGGGAGACGCTAATGTCAGTTGAGCTGCAGCTCATTAGCATAAGTTTCTTTTTGTTTTTAAGATTGTTACAAGTGTTTCTGATTGCTTAGAAGTGTTTCTGATTGCGTAACAACTTGTGTTTGTGGATTTAGATCCTTTCATGTTCTTAAAAAAACATGACTGGTTATGTTCTAAATCTCATCATTTATTTTGAATTTAATAATTTAGATTAGATGAAAGAAATATAATATTAAGAAGTTAATTTGCTTTTTTAATCATATATATTATATCATGACCATTCAATTTGAGGATACTGATTGGTTTTAGATATGATTTGCTATTTGACTCTGAGCAACAATGGAATTAAAAATGGATAACGGTGGAAATACAGGCAGGAGACAACACTGATCAACTGAAGCACAAACTACAAAACAAAAAATTGTAAAGAAAACAGGTAAAGCAAAAACAGAGTAAAGTGCAGAGCAGTGTGCCAACATGGACCATCTAAATCAGCATAAATACAGCAGGAACATGGACTTTTCAGCAGAAGGAACAATAGAGGTAAAGTATAGCCAAAACCAGCAATTATGACAAGATAGAATAAGCACTGGAAAAGCAGACAGATCATCAGATTAGCAGAAGATGAAAGCAGACGGCAGTAACATCAATTATAGTTAATAGCATAAAAAAACACAATTCAGAGTAAGGATAGAAACACTAGATAGCTCAGAAACAAAAAACTTCAAATCAATCTATCTCACATTAGCATTTAAAATAGTATGGAGATAAAAACACCATAATAAACAGTAATAATTCGTTTATTCTTTTGTTTCAAGTCAGAACTAAACATTCTTGGAATTCTTAAAAACTACACACTGATTTCAATAGTAAATATTAAATTAAATCTTCATTAACAGAAGCAACAACTGTTAGACCCAAAAGAAATTTTATAACCAGGTTCGTTTAGAGTTCAGTGCTATCTTAGGGTTACATCACTGTAATGCCTAGCGAAGAAATTCTAAGTTCAGCTAGAAATGTAAAATACCTGACACAAGCTTCATAGGTTCAGTGATTGCGACTATGATAGGTCAGTCAATTTGGATAAGTTGACAACTTTTTGGTGTCTGAAGTATTTTTGGGTTATGATAGATCAGGATTGCTACCTCTTCAACTACCTCATTCTTGCTAATGTTAACTTTCGGTCAGTAAGAGATGTAATTTTTGCAACGATTATTGGAGTCAACTTCATGCCACCTCTGCTGCTGCTGATAATCAATGCAGTATGAACATCTACGTTATAGGAATTAATGACATATTTTTTCATGCCACTTTTTAACTGGCTTTTAATCTAAACTGATTGATTCTCATAAAAAAATGACATATTTTTCTACCTGTAGACTATCTAAGCAAAGTTTTTA